GAGGAAGCCCTGGGAACGGGGCTCCCGGCTGTGACTTGGAGGAGTAAATCGCATGCAAAGAGCAGAGATTGTCACCAAACGCACAAAAGGACCTCGGGACTCTGAGGGTGACGCTCTGCAGAAAAGGAGCTAATTCCCGGAGGGAATAATTCCCTGGTGGGGAATAATTTGAATAAATCTCAGCTTTGGGCCCTTTCTACAAGGTTGTGAGAGCGGCATCGGGTCTTCACATCCAGTTTGGGGCTCCCCAGCATGAGGAGGAGCCAGGAGACCTTCTGGTGGAGACCATCAAGATAGTCACAGAAGAAAAAATGGAAGAAAAAAAGGAAGAAAAAGGAAAAAAGGGGATAAATAGTGTGAAAAAAAAGAAAAAAATATATGCAAATGCAAAGGAATGGATGGGGAGCAGCAGAGTAGAAAGGCACTTGGGAACATGCCACCAAGATGACGCATATGGCAGCAAAGGCCAGCGGGCAACCTGATACGGGAGGCGGATTTGTGAAAGCAGCTGGCAATAAATCGGCAGATAAAACAAATTGGCAGATAAAACTCCCCGCAAGAGAAAAAAAAGGGAAAGAAAACAAGAAAACTAAAAGGAAAAAAAAGGGGGTTGCAGGAAAGCAAAGCTGCATGTGCAGATACATGTGCTCCATGCATGTGCTGGCCCTGCACACATGCACATTGCACGTGCAACACGCATGTTCCAGGCGTGTGCTGGGCCTGCACACACACACGTTGCACGTGCAGACATGCGTGATCCACACGTGCACATTGCATGTGCTACATGCATGCTCCAGATGTGCTGGCCCTGCACACACACGCACATTGCATGTGCAGCACGTGTACCCCAGGCGTGTACGAGGCCTGCACACATGCACATTGCATGTGCAACATGTGTGCTCCAGATGTGCTGGCCATGCACACACACATAGTGCACATGGGAACACGTATGCGCCATGCATGCATGTGCTACATGCATGCTCCAGATGAGCTGGCCCTGCACACGCACGCACATTACATGTACAACGTGTGTGCTCCAGGTGTGTCCTAGGCCTGCACACACACATTGCATGTGCAACACATGTGTTCCAGGTGTGTACTAGGCCTGCACACATGCACATTGCACATGCAACATGTGTGCTCCAGGCGTGTACTAGGTCTGCAAACATGCACATTGCATGTGCAACACACATGTTCCAGGCGTGTACGAGGCCTGCACACATGCACACTGCACGTGCAACATGCATGCTCCAGGTGTGTGCTGGGCCTGCAAACACAGGCACATTGCATGTGCAACACACATGTTCCAGGCGTGTACGAGGCCTGCACACATGCACATTGCACATGCAGACACGTGTGTGCTGGCCCTGCACACATGCACATGGCACGTGCAACACGCATGATCCACACGTGCACTTTGCATGTGCTACATGCATGCTCCAGATGAGCTGGCCCTGCACACGCACGCACATTACATGTACAACGTGTGTGCTCCAGGTGTGTCCTAGGCCTGCACACACACATTGCATGTGCAACACATGTGTTCCAGGTGTGTACTAGGCCTGCACACATGCACATTGCACATGCAACATGTGTGCTCCAGGCGTGTACTAGGTCTGCAAACATGCACATTGCATGTGCAACACACATGTTCCAGGCGTGTACGAGGCCTGCACACATGCACACTGCACGTGCAACATGCATGCTCCAGGTGTGTGCTGGGCCTGCAAACACAGGCACATTGCATGTGCAACACACATGCTCCAGATGTGCTGGCCATGCACACACATGCACATTGCATGTACAACATGTGTGCTCCAGGCATGTACTAGGCCTGCAAACACGCACATTGCACGTGCAACACACATGCTCCAGGCGTGTACTAGGCCTGCACACACACACACACATTGCACGTGCAACGTGCATGCTCCAGGCGTGTGCTGGTCCTGCACACATGCACGTTGCACGTGCAACATGTGTGCTCCAGATGTGCTGGCCATGCACACACACATAGTGCACATGGGAACACGTATGCGCCATGCATGTGCTGGGCCTGCAAACACAGGCACATTGCACATGCAACATGTATGCTCCAGATGTGCTGGCCATGCACACACATGCACATTGCATGTGCAACATGTGTGCTCCAGGCGTGTAGTAGGCCTGCAAACATGAACATTGCATGTGCAACACACATGTTCCAGGTGTGTACTAGGCCTGCACACACACACACACATTGCACGTGCAACGTGCATGCTCCAGGCGTGTGCTGGGCCTGTACACATGTACATTGCATGTGCAGCATGTGTACTCCAGGCGTGTACTAGGTCTGCAAACACAAGCACATTGCACTGCAACATGTGTGCTCCAGATGTGCTGGCCATGCACACACTAACACATTGCATATACAACATGTGTGCTCCAGGAGTGTACTAGGTCTGCAAACATGCACATTGCATGTGCAACACACATGTTCCAGGCGTGTACTAGGCCTGCACACACACACACACATTGCACGTGCAACGTGCATGCTCCAGGCGTGTGCTGGTCCTGCACACATGCACGTTGCACGTGCAACATGTGTGCTCCAGATGTGCTGGCCATGCACAAACACACAGTGCACGTGTGAAAATGTGTGTGCCATGCATGTGCTGGGCCTGCACACACATGCACATTGCATGTGCAACACACATGCTCCAGATGTGCTGGCCATGCACCCACACGCACATTGCATGTGCAACACACATGCTCCAGGCGTGTACTAGGCCTGCACACACACACATTGCACGTGCAACATGTGTGCTCCAGATGTGCTGGCCATGCGCACACATGCACATTACAGGTACAACATGTGTGCTCCAGGCATGTACTGCGCCTGCAAACACGCACATTGCACGTGCAACACACATGCTCCCGGCGTGTACTAGGCCTGCACACACACACATTGCACGTGCAACATGTGTGCTCCAGATGTGCTGGCCATGCGCACACATGCACATTACAGGTACAACATGTGTGCTCCAGGCATGTACTAGGCCTGCAAACATATGGGGAATGAGGGGACATCAGGAATGAGGGGACATCGAGAATGTCAGGAATGTCAGGGATATGGGGAATGAGGGGACATCAGGAATGAGGGGACATCGAGAATGTCAGGAATGTCAGGGATATGGGGAATGAGGGGACATCAGGAATGAGGGGACATCGAGAATGTCAGGAATGTCAGGGATATGGGGAATGAGGGGACATCAGGAATGAGGGGACATCGAGAATGTCAGGAATGTCAGGGATATGGGGAATGAGGGGACATCAGGAATGAGGGGACATCGAGAATGTCAGGAATGTCAGGGATATGGGGAATGAGGGGACATCAGGAATGAGGGGACATCGAGAATGTCAGGAATGTCAGGGATATGGGGAATGAGGGGACATCAGGAATGAGGGGACATCGAGAATGTCAGGAATGTCAGGGATATGGGGAATGAGGGGACATCAGGAATGAGGGGACATCGAGAATGTCAGGAATGTCAGGGATATGGGGAATGAGGGGACATCAGGAATGAGGGGACATCGAGAATGTCAGGAATGTCAGGGATATGGGGAATGAGGGGACATCAGGAATGAGGGGACATCGAGAATGTCAGGAATGTCAGGGATATGGGGAATGAGGGGACATCAGGAATGAGGGGACATCGAGAATGTCAGGAATGTCAGGGATATGGGGAATGAGGGGACATCAGGAATGAGGGGACATCGAGAATGTCAGGAATGTCAGGGATATGGGGAATGAGGGGACATCAGGAATGAGGGGACATCGAGAATGTCAGGAATGTCAGGGATATGGGGAATGAGGGGACATCAGGAATGAGGGGACATCGAGAATGTCAGGAATGTCAGGGATATGGGGAATGAGGGGACATCAGGAATGAGGGGACATCGAGAATGTCAGGAATGTCAGGGATATGGGGAATGAGGGGACATCAGGAATGAGGGGACATCGAGAATGTCAGGAATGTCAGGGATATGGGGAATGAGGGGACATCAGGAATGAGGGGACATCGAGAATGTCAGGAATGTCAGGGATATGGGGAATGAGGGGACATCAGGAATGAGGGGACATCGAGAATGTCGGGAATGTCAGGGATATGGGGAATGAGGGGACATCAGGAATGAGGGGACATCGAGAATGTCGGGAATGTCAGGGATATTGGGAATGAGGGAACAACAGGAATGAGGGGACATCGAGAATGTCGGGAATGTCAGGGATATGGGGAATGAGGGAACAACAGGAATGAGGGGGCATCAGGAATGTCAGGGATATCGGGAATGATGGAGCTTTGGGAATAAGGGGACATCGGGAATGAGGGAGCGTTGGGAATGTCAGTGACATTGGGAATGAGGAGGTGTTGGGAATGTCAGGGACATCAGGAATGAGGGGACATCGGGAATGAAGGAGGATTGGGAATAAGGGGACATCAGGAATGTCAGGGACATCAGGAATGAGGGGGTATCAGGAATGTCAGGTATATCAGAAATGTTGGGAATGTCAGGGACATCAGGAGTGAGGGGGCATCGGGAATGTCGGGAATGTCAGGGACATCAGGAATGAGGGGGCATTTGGAATGAGGGGGCATCGGGAATGTCAGGGACATTGGGAATGAGGGGATGTCGGGAATGTTGGGAATGTCAGTGACATCGGGAATATCACGGGCATCAGGAATGAGGGGGCATCGGGAATGTCAGGGACATTGGGAATGAGGGGATGTCGGGAAGGTTGGGAATGTCAGTGCCACCCGGTGGGGGGGGCTGGTTTGGGGGGGGACAGCCGGGATACCCGGGATGGGGTATCCATCTCTTGGCTCTCCGTGGAATTCCTAAGCCTTTTCCTGCCTTTCCGAAGACGGAGGTGCCTCGGGAACAAGCCCTGGAACCCGCCGCCGTGCCAAACGCGCCGGAATTATCCCCAAATACGTGACCTCTTTCCCTTTGCTGCTCCCTAGGTTTCCCGCAGGGAACATGTGCATGCGGCACCGGGAAGAGCCCGACGCTCCTGCTTCCGCCGCGGCCTTCCGTAAGTCGCCGTGTTCATCCCTGCTATCCCGTCGTATCCCATGGGATGGGGGACAGAGACCGCCCCAAATCGCCCTTCCCGGTCGAGGCATCCGGATCTTTCCATCCATCCCGCTGCCTTTTCTCTGCATGGAGGAAGAGGCAGCCCTGGAACACATTTTTCCCCCCCAAAAAAGCCTGGGATAGACTCTCTTTCCCACCCCTTTGTGTTTCTAATGGATTTAACACTTATTTTCACCTTCCTTCTATTTTTTGTCACCTTCTTAAGCCAAAATCCACACTTTGCTCTTGTCTTTTGGGGCCTCCAGGCCGCTTAATTCCTTATTTTTCCCTCAATGCTCCTTTTCCCCAGCAAATAGGGGCCACAATATTCCGTAGCTTTTTTGGGAGAGACCAGCACAGCTTCGTGCTGGCTACGTGGGAATGAAAATATTTGTGTTGCAGTGCTTAGTTTTCCTGGGAATTCCCTCTCTTGCAATTGGAAGTCAGGTAGGGATGGTGATTTAGGATTTTTGGGAAGAGCTAATTTTATTTTATTCGTTAATATTTTGCTGTTAATGAACCAGACTGTTCGCCAGGGCGCCAGCTCTGTCCACGCAGGCCCCATTCCGGTGCATCCATGTAAATTCCCGGGAATGGGAGCGAAAGCAGCGCTCGGAGAACGGTCCGTGCTGAGGAGGCAGCCTGAAAATTCCCTGGGAAGGATAAATCCCGCTGTGGAATCCGCAGGAACCGGTGGCTTGGGACACCCGGAGGCCTTGGAGCAGCCCCCTATCCTGGCAGAGAGGGTTATCCCTGCTCCTGGTGGGCCAAAGCCGCTCCGAGGAATTCGGGAAGCTGCTGGGAAACCCCTGGGAGCCTCCATTTGTGGTTCCAGTGTTGGGATCTCTGTCCCCTGTTTGGTCCTGTTGTTCCTAGGTTCAGGAATAAAAGGTTTTCTGGGGAATTCTGTGTCGTTTCTGGTGCCTCCTTGGGGGGTTTTGTGTCCCTGCGCGGCCTCCCTGTTTATCCCGCTGGCTCACGCTCTCTCCCTTCTCTCCCGTTTTTCCAGAGGGTCCTGGGAGTCATGGAAGAGCAGCCGGCCTGTGAATTCCCCTTTCCCGTGAGGCGCATCCGCGTTTCGGGAGCGGACGGATCGGGAGATGAAGAGCAGGAGGCGGCTTCGGAGGACGACGCGGCGGGGAGCTCCCCGTTGGACACGGATGGACCTCGCGGAAAGCCGGGAGAGGACGCGGAGG